TGGCCAAAACCCCACAGTCCCGCAGACCCTGATGTGCATTTTCAAAATCTACCAGGAGATAAACTGAACGTTCAGCATTCACCCCAACAAATCTACCTGCCGTGTAGTAAATGCTAAATCGCAAAACCAGCTCTTTGCCTGTGAGGCTTAGTTCCTCATCTGTAAAATGGGGGAGAGAATATTCCAAGTCTGTAAAGGGATTAAATCGTGATATAGATTTACAGCTCCCAGGCCGGCAATGTCTGGAACAGAGAAGGGAGAGGACAGAGTAGGAACGGAAAGTCCTGAAAATTCCATGGGAAGGCATTTGGAATAAGAATTCAGACGTGGCAACTAAAAAGGATACCATATTTTTACGTCATTTATATCTCAAAGGAAAGGAAACACATCGGTCCTGGGGAGGGGAATGGGGTGATGGGAGCCCGCTTTGCGGTGGTAAGAAAGCACCAGCTACGTGACATGGAGAGGTAAAAGCAATTTTGAAAAGGGGGGGGGGACGCGGGCGCCTGGGTGGCTCAGGTGTTAAGCGTCTGCCTTCGGCTCAGGTCATGGTCCCAGGGTCCCGGGATCGAGCCCCGCCATCAGGTTCCTTGCTCGGCAGAAGCCTGCTTCTCCCTCTCCCACTCTCCCTGCTGTGTTCCCTCTCTCGCTGTCTCTCTCTCTCTCTGTTGAAAAATAAATAAAATCTTTAAAAAAAGTGGGGGGACAGCCTGTGAAATCTAAAGTGGGCACATGAAAGCTCTGTTTATGGAGAAGCAAAAAATCACTATTCCAGTGTGGGAAGGCATGCCCCCACATACCCCTTAATGGCCTTCAAAAAAAAAAAGTCGTTTGGCACAGGGCGCCCTGTAAAACAGGGTGTTTTTAAACCAAATGGAAGGACATGCAAATGTTACTAACAGCAGGCTGGGGCTTGATGGGTACCGCCGGCTGGGATTTATTGAAACGGCTACAAAAGAGCTCAGCCTCGTAACAGGTTAAAAATAATTCTGAACGTAATGGCTCCAAAATAACCCCTGGCCGTGTTTTCCTTGGCTACTTCTCCAACCTGGTACATGAAGGTCAGTGAGATCACAGGTGATTCTGTTTTCTTTCCCTCACTCTTCTGTAGTTCTCGTTATGCTTTTACGATGCGAAAAATGCCTCCCAAAAAGCTATTTTCAACTTTGCATTAAAAAAAAAAAAGCAAAGCTCCAAGGGTTTTTGGGTGCGGTTTATAAAAATGCAGGAAGATACAACTAATAGAACAATCATCAAATTTGTGTAATAAGATAAAATGGTGGCAAATAAAGCCCCTAAACTGGGTTTGTTATTTCTCTTGCAAAATACGTATTTATGACAGGGAATCCTCTGCAGTGTTGACACTGTGGTCTGCTGGAGTCCGCAGTATCTTCCTATGCCTTCCAGTAACATCCCATGACATTAGTGTAATGATTTTTTTTTTAAGATTTTATTTATTCATTCGAGAGAGTGGGAGAGAGAGAGAGCACAAGCAGGGGGAGAGGCAGAGCAGGGAGTCCGATGCGGGACTCCATCCCAGGACCCTGGGATCATGACCTGAGCCAAAGGCAGATGCTTAACCATCTGAGCCACCTAGGCATCCCTGATTTTTTTAAATTAACATGAATGCAAATGGATTTGGTCTTCATAATTTGGGTGGGAGGGGGAAACTTGTTATGTGTCAATGAACAAAATGGATCCCTTTGGCACCTGTTAGGCACACTGCTTGGTAGTATGCAGGAGATTCAAAAAAATGAATAATTTTTTTCTTGGTGGATAATTTCTTCTTGATGACAAAGTGCTAGAAAATTCTTGGTCTTGTTCTGTACAGAATGGCGGAAGTCCCCAGCTACCTGCATGGGGAAGGTAACTCCATATGGCAGGTAGGTGCTCCCACAGTGGGCATCACCCATTTTGGTTTCCCATCCATCGTGTCCTATCAGCACACGGACTCAGTTCAACTCTCTAAATGCTGCCAACAATCAGATCGTCCCAAACACTGGATCATGAATTGAGGCCACCAACATGCCATAGGACCCTGTGTCAAAACTGCATTTTCAAGACAAAGCCTTCCTGAGAACAAGGAGGAAGTCTCTCACCCATGTGCCTCCGAGTTTTAGAGCTGAGTCTCAGAGTTGGAATCAGACCAGGGTAAATCCACATAGTTCTCTCCAGGGTCACCAGAGGCCAGTGCAGGAAAGACGGGGCCATGTACTCTTCCTCACCCCCATCCCTCCCAGGGAGGTGAAAGGACTCATCCAAGATGTCACAGCAAAATGATGACAGATCCGGAACCAGAGAGACCCCTGATACCCTGATGCCTGAGGCCCTGCTTCTTCCCACTAAGTTATCAGAGACAACTTGGAAGAGAGGAATAGGTCCACTGGCAACCTCGATAAAGTTTTGAAGACCTCATTTTAAATAATCTTTAGGACATCTTTAGAAAATATTCCACACAAGGTCCAAGGGAAGGATATTTTAGAGAACAGCATCCTGCATTAGGAATATGCTTTCTACACAGGACTCTGAGCAGTGTGACCTTAAATATTATATTTCAGTAGGAGTAGCAGAATCAGCTTTGCCTGGAGCCAAGTTTCATGGTCCCATCTACAATTTTTTTCATAAATTCTGACAATCTAACATTCTCTAATAGAAAATAAGAAAGAAGCCCTATAAAAGTATAAAAGTATTCGGCCTTCTGCTGGAAACATTCTCTATTGGGTACTTTCTTGTACAAAACTCAAACATGAAAACCCAGCTAATTTAGTGCTTTCTTTTTGTCTTTTTTTTTTTTTTTTTAAAGATTTTATTTATTTATTTAATTGACAGAGAGAGAGAGAGAGAACACAAGCAGGGGTAGGGTCAGAGGGAGAAGCAGGCTTCCCGCGGAGCAGGGAGCCCGATGCGGGGCTCGATCCCAGGACCCCGAGATCATGACCTGAGCTGAAGGCAGTCGCTTAACCAACTGAGCCACCCAGGGGCCCCTCTTTTTGTCTTTTAAATTCGGAGTTAGATTAGATGTATTCATCTGGTTTTTGCCAAAAAAGAAAGAAAAAGTTCTACCTGGAAGGCAGTTGTGAAAACTATGGCCATTTGCAAGGAACAGCAAGGTTGGAATAGTGAAGCAGCGATTATACTTTTGGGTGCATATTTAAGTGATCTTCATCACTGTGCTCTGAAATTAGACCAGGGCCTGCAAATTCTTGAGAAGCTCAAGAGCACTTCTGTCAGAACTGCATGCCTTTAGAATTCTTTTAAGTAAGCAATCTTTCCATGAAGACACAGATCACTGGCATCGAATGGGAAAGAATGCCGACAATGTCTACCTTGACCCGCACAAGTCAAAAAGCACAGGATTCACGGACTCTGCCAAAAGGACACGGACTGCGACCAAACCTCCCCCGAACCCTGGTTCTGGCTGGTACGCTCGCTTCGGCACAAGTTTTTACGGAGCACTCACTATGTAAGGGGCGCTCCGGTGCTGGCCTACGGCAGTGCACCTAGCAGGCAAGGGCACTAGCTTTCGTGCACGATGGCAGGGGCCATGCAGAAAACTGCCATAGGTCACAGGACAGATCCTGGCCGGGCCTGGTGATTTCAGCTAGTGTGGTCAGGAGGGATCTCTCTGGAATGAGACCATCAGGGGAAGGAGGCAGCCACGGGAAGGAGCCTTCCCGGAAGTGCAGAGGACCCAAAAGACAGCCCAGTGTGACAACCTCCCTGAGAGCAAGGAGAGAAGTTGAGGCCAGATGGCCCTGTGTCACAGACCACGTTGAAGTGTTTTTTTTTTGTTGTTTTTTTTTTTTTAAGAGAGCAAGCGAGAATGAGAACATGAGCAGGGGGGAGAGGCAGAGGGAGAGGGAGAAGCAGACTCCCCGCTGAGCAGGGAGCCCGATGCAGGGCTCGATCCCAGGACCCTGGGATCATGACCTGAGCCGAAGGCAGATGCTTCACTGACTGAGCCACCCAGGGGCCCAGAAGTGTTTGAGTTTAACTGCACTTATAATAGGAAGCCGCTGGAGGGTTTTATGTGGTGGGGGTGGAGGTGAGGTGGGGGGTAGGGGGCAGTGGTGGGGGCATGCTGGGGAGTGGGAGTAGTGGGTAAGGGGTGACAGGGAGTTGGTATGTGCTTTGGAAAGTTCACCCTCTGACTTCTCTGGGTGGCCACCTGAACTGTTATGAACAAGAGAAAAAGCCATCCTCCACAACGCCAGGAATCTGCAAATATCACACTCTGCAGCACCGAACTCCCTGCATCGCCTTTTCTTTACTCAGAGGTAGAGGATGTGCTGTGCTGTATTTCTTCTGCATGGGGGGCTAGGAGCACGGGTGTGGCCGTCAGAGAGGCTCCGGTCTCCCAGTGGCAGCAGGAGGTGAACTCTATCGCCTTCCCCTTGTGGAGGGGAAGCTGCCCTTCTCTCCTGTGGGAGTCCTGAGACTGGGGGAGGGAAAATCCTAAGTAACGTCCCCAGAGGCAGGACACTGAAACTCTCGCAGAAAGTAGGACCCACGTTGCTTAAACTCTGCTCATTTCTTGAACAATTCAAGCTGTACAAGTTAGAGCATCTCACAATCTATTTTAATCTCTATTAATTCCCATCTGTGTACACTAGGAGACCTGCTCTTGACAAGCTCTTTAAGGTGGCTAAGTGTGCACTATTATCTCTAATAGCATCTCTCAAATCTGGCTATTAATTGCACTAATAAGGCGGGCCCCGCTCCGACGGTAAGGAACAGAAACTTGACAATTAACACCGCGTTCTCCGGTCCGAGCACAGTGCGGCTCAGCCTCCTCCACGTTCGAAAAATGGGTGTCGGGTTGAATCTGCTTTTAAACAGCCTCCGTGCATGGACCCACTAACAGGAAAACAGAGGGCGATCATTCTTAAAACCAGAGTACAAAGCAAAAGTCATAGCAGCTTCACGTGGTTTTGGAGGTTGTGGAAAGGACCCTGCAATTCAAAGGTAATACAACTCACTCAGCCTGGGAGGCCCAGGACCCCATCCTCAGCTGGTGGCAGGGCCAGGACCCACAGGACCCGGTTCCCGACAGCTGGCCCCCGAGCCCTTCCTGAAGACACGGAAGATTAAGTAGAAAAACGTAGGACGAGAGCTGATAGGTGAGTATGTATAGGCTGGGGGCTTGAGGAGAATAGGCCAGTCCCACCACATATTCAGCAAGCGAACATCTCCTTCTCCTTAATTCCATTAATGAGTGGGGACAGGCGCCTTCATATCTACCCCTTTCCCCTGTCACCCCAAACCCTGTATTCAAGACACACAATGGAAATATTTTTTTCTCCTCTTTTACTATCACTTATCACATTTACTCTGACACAGCCAGTTTGTTTTTGGAGTCCTTCTTATATGAGCCAGGTTAAATGTTACACATTTAAACCTCAGAAAACTCTACAAAGTACATGCTATTATTTCCCCCCACTTTATAGCAAAAGCTACAAGAGGTTGTACTCGGCACCCAGGGTTACAGGCTAATTATAATTAAAGCTGGGATTTGAACCCCAGGTCTCAGATTCCAAGGCTTACATTTTTGACCATGATCCTAAGCTACCCAGGTACACAGCCACCTAAGTCATAGTCCTGACACCCACCCAGATGACACCCACCCAGATGTGGACACAGTGAGGGTAAAATCATCCTGCCCTGCCTCTAACTTCCCGACCGGCACCCCTCCCTCACCTCCACCATGAATGACATCATTTCTAAATGTATACCTGTATCAAAACATCACATTGTACACCTTAAATATATATACTTTTTTACCTGTCAAGGATAAACAAAAATTTTCTTTTAAAAAGATTTTCTTCCCGCAGCTTTACCGATTAAAGAAAAAAAAAAAAGTATGGGACAGAAACCAAATCTTGATTCAAAAAAGCAGACATATTTCTAAAACCATCTATTTCTCTGCAGGAGCTGGCTCCACATAAAGATAAGGCGAACTTACTCAGGCTTGTAAATATCGGTAAGCCTGATCCAATTTCCCATGGTTACTTTCCGTGCCTGAGTTACATTTCCGAGCTGAATCCCTGTTTCAAAGGACAGAACTCGAAACCAGAAATTCCATGCATCACAGTCTTAAAAATTGAGCAAAACAAGTCTCTCCTGCTTCTCAACCTTTAATATTTATTTTAGTTGGCCCTCGGAGGACTGTTTCTTCTACTGAACTTACCCTACTGAATTCTGACAAAAGGGAACACACCAAGGTCCAATCGCTGTGAATTTAAGCCAGTGGATTTAAGAATAAAATAAAAATTGTAGAAAAGTTACCAAAATTTGTTTACTACTGTCAGATATTTCCCCAAACAACTCAAACTCTTGCCACTAATCAGTTCAGTACTTCCTTCCTAAAGTACTGAAGAACACGAATTTGGCAAAACCCAAATCTATTTTCTAGGTCCTTAGCTCTCCCTTGTGTATAAAAACGGAAATGCAGCTTGCTGGAAATTTTGCCCCAATAGATTGGATGACCCAATTTTAAAAGCTAAAAATGCCATTTGATAAAAGAAAAAGAAAAAAATGTTTATGTCTTATAGCAAAAAGCAAAGAAAGATTATTTAAAGTGACAAAACAAAAGCAGCAAAATATTAAAGGCATTCTGCACATTATACTTTTGATGAAGAATCGTGAAAACCAAACCAACCAACCAATCTTGTCAGTGCAAGATATTTTAGGAGAAAGGGACGTTTCACAGAATCACAGATGTTCTCAGCTGGGATTACAGCGAGGAGTTTCCAGCCCCCATCTCTGATTTCAGGCTGGATCGTACTGAATCCAGCCCAAACACAGGAGACACCTCTTCAGATGGGTGACAAGATAGTTTGCTATTTCTCATTGTGTATTTCAGCAGAATTTCAAATATTGTGTTTGAGATACCAATTTCTTTAAACTTTCTTGGTACTTTTTCCAGTTCTTCGTGACTACCTCTCCATGGATGTCTCTGCCTCTTTCCCATGTAGGTTTTGGCACAGGCTTCTGGTGATGGAAAACCAACCAGGGGATCTTATTCTGCTATTTGCACCCTGGTGTTACGTAGCTTTTTATGACGCCCCCAGGTAAATTCCCTTGAGAAGTGTCGCCTTTTACTTACTGATTACCCCCACTACTGTATGGTTTAAGACTCTCTTACTGTTTCCTCTACTTCGAGCTCCGGGAAGGAGAATCTCCCCAAATCCTTTGAGTGGTCAGGAGACAGGACCAGGAGGTTGCCACCTGGGTACAGAAATTGTGGGGAGCTTGGGCTCTTACTTGGTTGAACAGACTAGTTGAGGAAAAAGAGGGTACTCTCTGGGCAGCCCTTCCTCGAGGTCCCTCTCAAAATCCTAAACCTTCTCAAATCAGCTGCATCTATCCCTAGATTCAAAGATGGGAGGAAATGAGTCTTATCACCTTCACTTCGGCAACTTGGTTTGGGGCCCAACTGCAAAAACAGAGATAACTGCCTTCATCACCAGGAGCTTCTACAGGATACCTAAAAAAGCATCCTCCTCTCCATGTGGGAGGACCACGCAGCGAGACACCAGTGAATAAGAAGGACCTTTCCAAATTACAGTTTTGAGATGTCCGCATCCATCGTGACACAAAAGCGTACTCTTCAAAGTTCGTTCGGCAATTAAATATTATACAGAACACATAATTTGGATTGCATTCCAATGATCTTCCAGTGCTGTAGGGTACCAATCACTCACTCGGCAATTAAATACGTTCTGTGGTGTCACTAAATGTTTTAAGGGAGGGAAGGATTCTGAAGTTGGCAGAAGGACCAAAGGAACAGGAAGAAGAGAAAAAGCAAGTCTTCCCGAATTCACCCTCAGCCCAGCTTTTAGCTTTGCAATCCCCCCGATTTTATGGAGCCCCTTGCCCCCGATAATGATTACAATACTGGAGACATCCCAGACAGTGCACACATGGTTGGAGCTAAACTGAAAAACCTGTCCCTCTGGACTCATCAGACGGCTGCCAGTTTAGGCTGACGGAATGCCTGCTCTCACACATAAAGACACAAAGATATTTTTCCAAGAAATTATCCACACCAGCCAATTATTGTGTATGTGCAACACACACACACACACACACACACACACACGGTATGTGGTGGAGCACGGTCATCACCTTGAGTTCACCATGGGAAAAGCTCTGAAATGCTCGTGGATATCATCTTTTTAAAAACCACATTCATATTCTCTTTTACACTTTCTAAAGGCACCATCCCCTGTTCAGGGGAGCCCCCCACTGCCTTCAGAAGGATTAGGATAAAGTTGGTATGCAAAAAGAAAAAAAAAAAAAAAACCAAATGATACCAGTGCTTTCCAAAAACGGATTTGTGAGCCCACCACCATCAGACAGCAGTCTAAATCAGGATTTGTGGAGGGAGAGAGGAGTTTCCTCAATTTCAAAGGCTCTTTGCAGTCGACAGCGATGCCTGGGCGACAGAACTGCTATAAGCCACAGGGCTGAACCCTATGGCCGGGCCACATGTGTACAGGAAGTTACTCTATATATGTGACAGGAAGGCAGGGCCGAGTGCCTTCTTTCTTGGCAGGAGTAAGGAGGGAGAGAGGTAAGAGGTCAGGCCTGAGGATATTGCCACCTGTTGTATAATCAAGAATTTGGTTTTTGTCCTTGGTTGCTGGCACGGAGCTTCTAAAGCCCTTGGAATTTCCTGAGTGGTGGTGGTGTCTTTGTGATGCTAATGAGGTGACCAGGGAGGGCCCCTAGAGGGCTTCAGGATGGGGGCTGTCACCAGAAGGACCAACCACTTGATGGGATGGTTGGGCTGTGGAGCCAGGCGGACCTGGGAGGAGTGGGCGGCTGGAGGTGGAGTCTAATCACCCAGCTGATGATTTTACTTTATTTTTTTCCAGTGGATGATTTTAATCATTTGTGCCTACACGGTAATGAGCCCTGGATAAAAACTTGGGACACTGAAGCTCACTGGCGCTTCCTGGTTGGTGAAAGGGACCAACGTGTCAGGACAGTGATTCGAGGAGAAGAGGACAAGAAGGGGTCTCTGTCTGCTTCTTAGACCCCACCCTGCGCATCTCTTCATTTGCTGGTCCTTCTGACTGTAATAAACTGTAACCACAAGCAGTGCTTTTCTGAGTTCCATTAATCATCACAGCAAATTACTGAACCTGAGGGGGTCATGAGACGCCCTGAATTTATAGCCCGTCAGTCAGAAAAGCAGGTGGCCTGGGGGCCCCCAGAGTGTGGCTGGTGGGTGAAATAAGCACCGTTTTGTTGGGGCCTGAGCCCTTTAACTTGTGGGGTCTGTACCAACTCTGGGTAGTTAGCGCCAGAAGTGAACCCGGTTGGGTTTAAAATGGAATACTTGCCCGTGAGGGTCCAGTGGTGCATTTGGGGGGGCGGTGGTTGCAAGGAGCTAGAGGAATGAGACCCTAAAAGTGCCCAGAGGTGGATTTTCTGTGAAGCTAATAAAGTACAAACTTTAGGACTTTCACCTCATATGCTCCTTCTAAGGCTCTTGGAGCGTCCCCCATGATTTATGTTCATCCGGCTAGATACAATGTGCCAAAGCTAGACATTTTCATCTTGCTTGTGTTAAAAAGCTCCCTCACCGGGGCACCTGGGTGTTGAGTCATTAAGCGTCTGCCTTCGGCTCAGGTCATGATCCCAGGGTCCTGGGTTTGAGCCCCGCATCTGCATCCGGCTCCCTGCTCATCGGGGAGTCGGCTTTTCCCACTCCCTCTGTGCCCCCGCCTTGTTCACATGCGCACGCTCTCTCTCTCTCTCTCTAATAAATAAAATCTTTACCAAAGAAAAGCAAAAAACAAAACAAAAAACCCCCCAAAAACCTCCCTCACCCACCCAGCCATCAGATTCTAGAAACTTCAGTCTTGACAACCCCTTGGTGGTGACTCTGCCATTGTTGAGCACCGGGGCTAGACTCTCTTGCATGGTCTAACACAGCGTGAAGAAAACAGCCAAGACTTTGCAGATCCTCAAGCAGGGCACGGAGGAGCTGGAACACAAGGACAGCGCCAGAGGGCCTAGGGGTCCTCATGAGACTTCAGAAAAGCTGCCAACTGGAGGAGCCAGAACCCCAGACTTCAACAGCACAAATCATGGAAATCTCCCAGGGAATGAGATGGGACCAGATGCATGCTGAGACCTCCAGGGACAGGACAGACCGGTAGCCCTGCGCTGAGCCCAGCAGCGACCCACAAGAGAGGGGGAGAACCAGGGCACCAGCCCCCAAGGCCACAATGAAACACTAGCTCCTACCACTATCCAGATGCCACTTGGGAAGGAAGATGGGACAGCAGGCCCCAGGAGAGGAGAGAAACAGCCCATGGAATACTTGAATGCTGCCCTGACTACCCCGAAAAGATAAGTTAACTCGAGACTGGCTAACACCAAAGAAACTGAAGTTTCCCTCAGTGGAAAACAGGGATTTCAGAATAACTTTAAAAAACTTTATTTTTTAATTAAGCTGTGTTTGAAATTGTGATCCTTCTCATTTAAAACAACATTACGAATAACAGAAAAATTTCAAAATCTTCCAACGAAACAGATGGTCTAAAGGTCACTGTGGGAATTTTTAGCATAATACGATTCTAAAATAAAACCTGTTTGTGATAAAACCATAATACAATGTTCAGAGAAAAGTGGCCATATCACTTAAATTTAGCCTAAGTATTCTGGGGCGGAGACTGCTAGCTAGTTACCAGAATCTTATTTTCCTGGGCTGACGGCCAGACTGCATTCCCTGGTCTCCCTTACGACCAGCGTGGCTGCACCACTGAGCTCTAGCCCATGGACCGTGAGCGGCAGTGATAATGGAACCAGGGCAGGCCTGGCCCCTCCGAACCCCACACCCGCCACTCTGTGCTGTCTTCCCCACTTCCAGCTCGCTGGGAAACTGATGAAGCTGGCAGAAGCTCCATCAGCCTGGGCTCTGGAATGGCCACGTGGAGAGCCAAGGCCACCACCAACCAGAAACACTCACCTTGGGCTTTTATGTGGGCAAGAAAATTCTACTTGTGAGTAGGGCATGTTTAGGTCCAGCTGTTGCAGCTGTGAACGTGACCCTAGGACATACTCTTTCACATCCATCTGGTGCTAATTCAATGTGGCAGCCAATGAACGCTTCCTATTTGCACACGGAATTCCTAAGTTCTAACAAGATCCACCTTCCCCGCTACTAGGAAAGCGGGCGTGTGGGCAACTACCAAGAAATGGCAGGAAACTGCATTCTGAGCTGGGACCGAGGAATGAGCATGGATGTGTGAGGGCTCAGAGGAAGTTCGATTGCGCTCTATTTGTGAAGGTGTCACAGATGCGGTGGCAATGGAGCTGGGCCTTGAAGGATGAGAAAGGTTCAGCAGAAGGAGGAGGGGTGGGGAAGTGCATTCCAGACCGACCACGAGTCCTCAGGTTTGATCCAGTGGGATGTGATGCTAAACACAGAAGAAAACAGGGTTCTGTTCACCCCAGGAAGCAGAAGCAAGGCCAGCGAGGGACAGTGACAGGGAAAGAGGAATCTGTTCAAAGCAGGGAGGAACTAACAATCGGGGCTGACCACAAATTGGAGGCGCTCTGCAGACAAAAAGGCAGCGCGTCTCCTTGAGGGATGGCCAGCCTCTTGGCACGGGGGCTGCGGAGACTGTGGTGTGGGCACGGGATGGGGAGCTGCTCCATTCAGCTGCCTTCCAGCTCTGGGATTCTATGTATCGCCGAGGCCTCTGCCAAGCAGGCTTTGTACAACATTGCCAGGAGAAAGAAGAATTATTTTAGCCCCGTCTCAGCATTTCTTACACGACAGGCTTTGCCATATTCCCTTTCAAGGCTGGGTTGGCCGGGTCTATGCAACGCACTCAATCATAAGCCAGTAGAGAACATCTCTTCATGTCCAGGCTTGTGAAAACCCCTTGAATATAATGTTATTATCCAAAAAGCTTGCTAGGCTGATATTGAACAGGACTGCTGCTGGTGAACGAGAAAAACAAAAGACAGAAAGCATCTATTTTGAATGCTTAGGCCATGTCTTGACTGCGTGTCCCGGCTGACAGAGTCACTAGCTCCTTCCAAATACAGACAGACCATTTTCAAAAGAATGGATCACAAAAAGAGGTACTACAATAGAGCTGTGCTGAGAACACTTCTGTCCTTCCCAGGTGTCTCTGTATCTCGCAAGACACCTCAGCGTGAACATTATATTATATTATAAACGCAAATTTCACAGTGTCGTTTTGAAAAACAAACTAGTTTTCCATTTTTAGACGTGTATGTTAAAGGTCAAAGAGTGTCTACTGGATCACTAGAAAGAGAAAGGCTATCCTAACATTACGGTCAACGAGTCAATGTCTACTTTCCTCTTAAAAGTTACAATTTCATTTTGCGAACATTCCTTGGGTCCCTACTATGTGCTAGGCACTGCTATTCATTAGTGACAAACACTGAAGGAAAAAGAGAACAAATGAGGTATTCTAAACCTGAAAACTTTCTAAGATCCATGTTATTTTTCTTTTTTCTTTTTAATAAAGATTTTATTTATTTATTTGACAGAGAGAGCGAGAGAGCACAAGCAGGAGGAACAGTAGAGGGAGAGGGAGAAGCAGACTCCCCACGGAGCAGGGAGCCCGATGCAGGGCTCGATCCCAGGACCCCAGGATCACGACCTGAGCTGAAGGCAGATGCTTAACCATCTGAGCCACACAGGCGCCCCTCCATGTTATTTTTCTTAAAAGCGTTTCCCAATGGTTATTTTAAAAATGGTGAGTTCAGCCACATTCTTGCCTAAAAGACAAGGTGATTTTGCTTGTAATATCTGCAGATTCTACTTATAAAGATTGACTTTCCATGTTGGCCTGGATGGTTGTATCATCTGCTGTATAGGACTCCAGGTACTCAGTTTATTGCTTAAATAAAAGAGAAAGGGAGAATTTTCCTGAGCTCAGAAATGATTATTAAACAAACACAAAACTCTTCACATTACAGAATGAATCTTAATTATACAGCTACAGCCCCACAACTGGGAAACAAAAGAAATTCATAAAACCATGCTCTGGGGCCACGGGGATATTTGGATATGAGAGTAAGACAGTCGCACACAGGAAGTTAGATTTCACATGCCATTGTTCAGCCATAAATATGAGCAACGCTCTTCTTTTCTCAGTCTTTTCAAAATTCAGGTCACATCTCTCTCACCATAGAGCATCCTGAGTAAATCACATCTCAAGTGGTGCCAAGACCTATCTGCCTTTGATAACCGATCTCAAAATCCTTCCCATTGCCTTTCTACCCACCTACCTACTTATGTGCTGGGTCCTAAAGCCACGTTTCACAAAGCTTGGGAATGGCATTCCCTTTCGATAAAATGAACAACTCACAACAACAGCTTCTATTTTGTTTGGTTTTCAACCCAACGGAGCTTACTATTTCCAGTGCACATTTACTGGTCCTGCCGGGAACGAGGGTCCCAGATTGCTGTCAACACCGGTACTAAGTCTGCTCCCAGTGAGGGAAAGTGGGGCAAAACCTTCAAATGCAAGATTCCCACCGGCCGTGGCATTCAAGCACGTCACTCCTAGGGGCACTGCGATATTTCTATGCTCCCCAGGCAAACATTCTGAGATTTCATTCCCCAGTCAAGATGAGAAATCAACATTTTCCAAAGTTGGGGGGGGACCCCAAACTACAGAATAACATTTCCAAACTTCAGTAACCCCAGTCTGTGCTTGCGATGGACAGATCACAGTAGCCAAAACTGGGCACACAAATGCTTCAGCACTCACAAATTCTTATTTCTAGCCGGCTGTGTGATCCTGCAGTCACTGAACCTCTCTGGGCCACAACTGCTTTGTCCCTAAAACCAAGAGAATACAAAGACAACTTCCAGCTCTAATTTCTTTGGGTCTAGGAAAAAACAATGCAGCTAGAAAATACCACTGTCTCAACTCTCTCTGCAGGCCTTGGAAAAGTAAAACTCCAATTCAAGACCAGAACATTGAGGGGGAACAATTAAAAAGATCTCTCAGGTCCCCTTGCACATTTTGATCCTAACTCCGACAGTGAGGCATGACCAGGCAATTGGTTGTAAAACATCAGCGGGCCTCATTGCTTCCAATGGCCAATTCTGCTCTCGCAAGACATTCTTCCTTATGTATCAAGGCCCTGCCTTGAAATGCAAAGAGGCCATGGCAACAGCCAAGCGACCTTCCCTGTGTTCAAGAGCCCCTTCTGCTTTCACTGGCCACTGGTCCCTGGGCTCCCGATTGCGCAAGAACAGGAGCATCCACCTGGCAAGGACAGGTAAGGAAGCCACACCTACCCTCAGCCACTGCTTCTCCGTGAGGGCATCACTGTAGTCCACATCCCGGCGCTGGCGAGACCCCCTGCCAAATATCTTCTCCTCCTCTTCTTCACACGTGAGCCGTTCTACTTCGGCGTCATCCTTAATAATCCAGGAGGGCAGCTCATCTTCCTCCATTAAGCGGGGCTTACGCTTCGGGTTCCGGGCATCCTCCCTCCGCCGGTCCATGTCCATACGCTGGAGGTATTAACAAGAGTTTCACCAGTGGGAAAGGGGATTCGGCACAGGATCAACCTCACAGCACACAAAACGTTCACAAGTCACCCCCCATGGTTTCAGGGTCACTTTCTCCTTTTCCTATAAAGTCTCTCGATCCTGGCTGACGTGTTCTAGCTCGTTCCTCAAGCACCCTGTCTCCGCAGAAGATTCTGCAAGGTAAAGTCTCCTCCCTCCCTCTGTACCCCATCTTTGAAATTCATGCATTGAAAATACACTCTTTAAAAATTCCTGTACTTAGTCTGTGTGTGTGCAAAGCTCTCCCTTTAAGTCATAGCGAGGAAAGTCCAATTGGGGATGTATTTAAAAAATATGAGCCCTGGAGATATAATTCACTGCTCCCCTGGCATAAAAGTACTCCTTAAGCCTATAAAAGAGAAACTTCATTAAGAAGACTTCCTTTTACTCAATAGGGCTCATGCTTTTAATTAAACAACCAGGAAACAAAGTCAGCACCCCAAGTGTTGCCGCAGATCGGCCACCCTCGGACTCAGACATGTGGGTACATTAATGGCTTAATTAGTCATTCGGCCACGAAAGTATTACAGTTTTGGTGCACTGTGGGCTCCATGAGAGGGATGTCCTTCAACTCTTTAGCTTTTAAGAAGTTTAGCTCTTATGAAAATACTATCACGCCAGAGAAGACGGTCAGATGCAATTTCATCTTAACTGATAAGGTTGTAAGTAAAGTGTCTCCCTTTCATATATTTTCATAGATTCCCAAACGCCTAAGCCCCCACCTCTTGCTTTCTTTTTAAAAATCCAGTGCACTTGTAAGTAAGTTAAGTGCCACACACTCGGCTTTAACCTGTAATTAAACAACCCGCTAGCTTTAAAAAGCAAATAAAACCTCCACTGAATTGCTGCATACGTTAGTTATGTAAGTATATATAGATATATACATTGCTAGCTAGATGTACTATTGCTACAGTCGAATAGACCATGAACCATTCAATGATTTACCTTGCCCCTTTCTTCCTTCGGATCTACCGTATTGAAACAGGGATTCAACATAACTTTTTCACAAGAACTAAAACCGGCAACCAAAGGTAAATGAAATTTCTATTCAAATCCAAACTTGACCTCTAGGATCCACATAAAAAATTCAAGTTCAAAGTCCCTTAAACTGCACTCACACTTTTTTTGGAAATCATTATATTCCCAACATGGGGCAGGCCTGCAGCATGGGGAGCCCAACTGGTCGATAAATGTGGCTGTCCTGTTCTGTCATGGGCTAGCTGGAGAGGTTGTTCTTAATCCTGACTCCTAATGCTCTGGTATCAGAAATGGGATCTACCAAACTTGCGTTGTTAGCACAGAGAATGCCTTGCTGACAATGCAATCTAGAGAGGGGCTTCTTGCAGTGACCTCCTAACAGTTCTTTAGACTGCTAATAAGAAAACAAACAAACAAACCATTTTTTGGTTAACGTATTCCACTGAGATAACACTTTGATTTTTGGTTTGACCACCACCATTACCTGTACCAAGAACTGTTAAAATGACTTACGCCATGCATTTGTTCACGATTGGGAATGTAAATCTTTCCTGACATAAAAATAAAAAATGGATATAAAAAAATAAAAAGCAAATTGATATAAAAAGTAAATTGCACTTGCTTTTTTTTTTCTTTTAGAAAGGGTTGATGCACTTTTTTAAAAAAATAAGCTTAAAGTTCTGATGGTTGCATCTCTCTCCAGAGATTTCTACTTGCAGAAGACGAGAACAAAATCTGAAGGTGATACTCAAGTAAGTCTAATTCACTATTCAGGTACGACATGAATATATTTGTCTTAAGACCTGATAATAAACGTTGTGCTAACAAGTACAGTTATTTTTAAAACGTACTTCTTGCCTTTGTAGGGAACATAGCAGTTTAAAGTTTCATGCTTGTATGTTATCAAAATGTTTCATATTTGTACTTTGATGTGTCAGAGATCTTTTTAGGTAAAATTCATAGGTAATCAGCATGAAAGATCACTGTTTCTGAAGTCCCATTTTTAGAAGGAAACAAGAAAAATACTCAAAAGAAAGGTTTTATTTTTAAAGAGACTGCTTGATGTGTGTTATTTAACTACAATGTCCATGGTAAATCAAATCACAAGCTTATATTAAATTTTTACAGAGAACTTCCTTTTTAATAATAAGGGATAAAAAGTTTAAATAGATGAAATCCAAATCTAGCTCACATTCCATTCTTGTGTCTCACTGAACTTTTTCATCAGAGTAGCTGGCAAGGATTCAAATTTGATTTTCTGCCCCCTGGTGGAGGTGCTAATGCATAGTGAATTGGCCAAAGGCAGCCCGCTGCTTAGATTAAAAAAAAAAAAAGCAAAAAACACCAAACCAAACCCCAAATTTGTATATCCCCAAAATGAGAAGTCAGCCATTGAGAAACAAGCAGAACAAGCCCCAAATTGAAGTGCCTACCAAAAAGTGCTCCCTTTCCAGCATCACTCGTTCTAAACCTGTTCTTTGCATGATAAAATACTCCCAAATTAAAAGAAGGCTGGGCCTTGGCCAGACATTCATTTTTTTTTCCCCCCTGAGGCTTTCAATTTCTGCAAATACCCAGCCCAAAAGTCAGAAAAGAGACGTACTCCCCCACCCTCCACCCCCCGCCACACACACTTCGGGGCTGTTGATGGAAATCTCCATCTCTGGGCCTAATCTAATTTGTATAATGACAGGCAGCTTATCCGTTCTTGGGCCTCAAGAGTACCTGAGGCGGTGGCGGTGCTGCATTATTGCCAAGCAGTGAGCAGCCAGGGAAGCTGAGGGCCTTTTGCCCGCCCCCGGCCCCCGTGTTCCCCAGGAATCTACATTTTAATAAGTTCCTCAAGGAGAGAAAAGATGTCTGCTTCCTATGTATATCTCCAATGTCCCTTGGTAGAGAACAATCTATAAAGGGGGTGACCAACAGTTTGAGTTAAGAAATCTCGGTTTCAGGAACACCCTACATGGGCCATGCTGTTATATAACCCCGTTGCATCAGTTTGATCCAAAATGGCCCAACCCGGGGAAGGTGGTGCACAGGGGGTCGGGAGGGAAAGTACACATTCCAGGCTAGGAATTATTCCCATGGCTACCTAAAACTTCCCTCAGAAGGAATTAAGTGTCTTTTTATCTTGAATCGTTATGTGTGGACACAACGACTGTTCCCTAGACAAAAATTACAAAATCACACACACGCACACACGCACACAGAGACAGACACACACACACACACACACACACACACGCCTCCACACAGCGGGAGCTCCCTTCTCAGACTGTCTATGCTAAAAAGACAGAGAATGCAAATCCTGTGGGTCCTATCTGGGCCAGGGGTCCTGTTTTGTTTGGCCTGCAGCATCAGATCATAATAAAAAACTGAATTTAGCCACAAACATTTTGAAATCCAGAGATTGCACATGAAAAACCTACATTTCCAGCTTCTCTTGGCCATTTGGAATTCCTGGCTACGTGGGGCTTGGGGCCCTGTCCCCCTTAGACAAGGTTACCAGGTTACCACCGCTACCCACCCACCCCTCCACTCACTTCACTCCTGCAAACTGCTTGTCTGACACCTGAGGGCATTCAAACTGAGGGGCCTCTGATGTGGGGGCTGTGCAGCATTCAACCACCTGAGTTACAGTTCACATTTATTCACTCATTTCGCCATCAGACTAAATGTCAGAAAGATCAACATGATTGACAGTAGTGGAGGGAGGCTCGCAACTTTCTGTGTCCTGATCCACGCTGACATCTTCACAAGGTCCAACATTTTGCCAGCATTCATTCAATCAATATTTGTTAAGCAAGTACTATGTGCCAGACTATTCTGAGCATCGGGGAAGCAGAGATAAATAGTTACGAACATGCCTTAAGAATGCAGTAAAACATCACTCCTGAGGGCCTCCTTCGCTCGCCAAGGGGCTTGTTTCCGCACATCCTGACCTTGTGGCAGGCTACACATGCAAATTAAATGCAGATTCTAGCAAATTACACATGACTACCTACGCAGCGTGGAACATCAAGGTTGAAACCATGGATGTTAAAGCCTCAAATGTCAAGGTCCTTTTCTATCTGTCCGGACCAGTGAAATCTAACCAATTTCAATCTTTCAGTGAAGTCTACACCTTGATGTGCTTCTGGAAGGTTCCTGTTCCCTTAAGCAGGCTCTCTTTACCATTAAGGAGAGGGATGACCCTATTGTTTGGTTGCTGTCCACCTACCCCATAGGGAGCATATGTGTTGTGATCCAGTAAGGAGACAGTGAGGGAATGGCTACAAACTACCTAGAGAAGCCAGGCAGGTTTCCTGAATGACGGGGCTTAGAGTTAGAAATGAGCTGGGAAGGGGGCGGCAGGTAGGGGGCGGGGATCTGTGGCAAAGCTGCGGACCACATGGCCTGTCCAGAGGGTACAGCTGCTACTGAGCCCTGGCCAACTGTTTCCATATAGAGACGTGGGCTTGGTATTGCCCCATTCTCCTTTTTCAAGAGAAGCCAGAAATCAGGATTCTTTTTATGTTGGCAACAAATTTGAAATTTAAAAAAAAACACCGCGTGGGCCAAACAAAATATGCCTGCAGGCTAAATTCAGCCAGTTTGCAGCCTCTGAACTGAAGGAAAGGCACAGGCTTCACAAATGAAATTCTGCTAGGGCACGCAGGCTCCAGACATCTCGAGTTAATAGAGAAAGGTGCATGAGTTCCTATGATATTACCATGAAGAGATCAAATTCTTCTTCTCGTCGAGCAATCATTTGGTTCAGAGTCTCGTCGTCCGGCACTTCATCTTCTTCCTGGAGTCAAGAACACAATGACTTAACAGACATTAAGGGAGAGCTTGGACAAGTGGGGTGAAGTATGAAGGAGTCAAGTGGGTCTGTCCTGCAGACCACAGGGATCTGTTTCTCCAGCCAGAAAGCAAAGGGAAAGGTCATTGGGTGTAGTATTTGCCATCATTATTTTACAAGCTATTCAAACCATCTTTCCTGGAGCAAAATCAGTTTAGAAAGGAAACATGGTACACGATGAGAAATCCTGGGCTTTTTTGGGTGTGGATCTTGATTCCATTACTTCTAAAACAAAGATACTTAAGGGCTCCCTGCCTCAATGACCTAATCTGTAAAATGGGTGTGACATTTACTTGGAAGAGAAGTTGTAACATTTAAGTATGGAAATGCACAGGGGACAGTGCCTAACATAAATCCCTTTAATGCTATTAATCTCGATCCACATACAAGGGCTTTCTTTCAAAGCCTTGAAAAAACCACAAATAGGTGAAAGTTTGTGACTAGGCACAGAGCAAGACCTTAAAAATCATATAGACAGGTCAAATACAGAGCCTTTAAGATAGGTTTAATCAGGGGTGCCTGGGTGGCTCAGTTGGTTAAGCGACTGCCTTCGGCTCAGGTCATGATCCTGGAGTCCCGGGATCGAGTCCCGCATCGGGCTCCCTGCCCAGCGGGGAGTCTGCTTCTCCCTCTGACCCTCCCCCCTCTCATGTGCTTTCTCTCTCTCATTCTCTCTCTCTCTCTCTCTCTCAAATAAATAAATAAATAAATAAAAAAGATAGGTTTAATCAGTGTCTTTCAGAGGGAATTAATATGCTAATGGTTAAAGCTGTGGATGGGACAACTAAGAATGTATCTATAACAAACCCCTCATGAAATACCCTTAATTAAAAAAAAATTAAATGAAGTAGAGAAAGCAAGTACACAAGGGCTAACATTTTCATTTTATATTGTGTTAGACCAAGGAACATGCTCTCTCTGCAAATTCCTCAGAAACCAAGTTCTCCAGCTTCCTAGAAATGCAATGACTTCCACACTTAAGAAAAACATGATTTTATAAAGTTGGGCAGAGGCTGCAGAACTTACCTTCCAAAATTATTTTTATCATATGCTGGCTAAGCGTGTTAAAAATCGAATGGAGAATTTCAGTGTATTAGCAGAAGGAGGAAGGAGGCAACCCAGAACTTCAAACATCTAGTTTCCCAAATTATACATTCAAAATGAGGTACCTTGTTCTAGAAACAGTATGAGTGTAAGAGCAGCTTAAATGAGATAACTCGGGTGCTTCCCAAGATAATGTCTGATGCGCTATGTTAGAAATGAATGCATTTCCATAAAGCAAAACTCTAATGATTCAAGCTAATAATTACTTCTAAAAAGCTTTCTATTCTAGTTCATCTCTAGACTGATTAAAGTCAATTTGTTTTAATATTACATTTCATCTGGCAAAGACTAGCTGGCAGGGGGCTGATACTTCACCATACAAAGAATCTGGTTAATGGATCCTTTGGGGGAAAGGTGCCCTGCTTTGGCCACTCTATACCCAGAACCCCATATTATCCCCTCAATGTCTATGCAACAGGGGGCTTGGACTTCCCCGTGCCTAGGATGAAAAGATTCTCTTGTAAACTGGCAAGAAGCCTGCCTGCAGGGGCCTGACCTTCCTGGAAACCAGAATGCCTGGGAGGTGGGCTAAATCTCTTCCTGGGCTCTTTGTGCCTTAGTCCTTTGTGGCCTGTCAACCGTGCAGGTTGCGGCCTCAATATTTGGTACCACAGCCCTGGACGGCAGTCTATCAGCATCCCCAAACATCTTCACATGCCGACACAGGCCACCCAGAAAATGGTGCCATGTCTGACACACCCATAGCCTGGAAGGAGTGTGGAGCCCCAGCAAGGCTGCTGGTAATGAGAAGCAACTGGCAAGGGACTCCACTCCAGCCCCCCCGGTGGCCCCCAGGCCTGGGAGACACAGACATCTCCCCACAGCCTAGGAGGGTTGAAAAGCGCCAGCCCACCTTGCACCCCATCTAACCCGGGCCACCTTCTTTCACAAGCCTACACACGACAAATTAAGCAAAAACACAGTGGAGGCCTTGGGTCACCTGCTTTGTGAACATATATAACACGTACCACCACCACCCCCTTTTCTTCAATTTCCAGGGACGTAAACAATAACAACAACAACAAAAACACCCGAAAACCCGATTCTAAATCAGTACCAAATATTCAATTTCAAGAATTGGACCTATATCACATATTCAGTTTTAAGAACCAGAGTGGTGAACTATTCGAGATCAAAATTTTTAAAATGTGTGTCAAGGTATGAATGTATGTACACACCTCTTTTTCATGAGTTTAATGAAATCTCATATGTAACTCATCAAATATAGAAGACCGACAAGTTAGGAAGAAGCACCATAGAAAAGTGCTCTTCAGTGTGCAGAAAGCTTCATTTCAGGATTCATTTAAATATCAAGATCTACTTCACATTTAGACTCGTTTCAGGAAAAAAAAAAGTATGCGAGGCTTTTAAAAGAATTTGGCTTATAGTTTAGAGATGATTTAAAAAACATATATCCTACTGAAGGCAAAGTCAAGCTACATCTAATATATGTAACAAAAAGAGTGCTCCATATGACTCCGTAAGGTCAACCCACTCTTCAGTTTACAAACATGGGGACATCAAACCAAAGGTGTCCATCCCAAGACAATTTTGTGATAAAGATTGGTGCTGCTATTTTGCACAGTTTTCTATTTTCTAGACTACATTGGAACTAGGTCTTTTGATCTCTTTCAAATCCATTTGGGTTGAAAATTTAGTACAGTTACCAAAACTGGGGCAACACGTGGGTGGCTCAGTGGGTTCAGCATCTGCCTTCAGCTCAGGTCATGATCCCAGGGTCCTGGGATGAAGCCCCATGTAGGGAATCCCTGCTCAGTGGGGAGTCTGCTTCTCCCTCTCCCTCTACCCACCCCCTGCTCATGCTCTCTCTCTCTTTCTCTGTTCTCTCTTTCAAATAAATAAATAAAATCTTAAAACAATTACTAAAACTGGCAATCTAAAAAAAAAAAAAAAATACAAGGGATGACCTGAAGATTCCCCCCGCTTAGAGAAACATAAGCAATGCATTCTTTGAACAATCTTGCCAAGGAAAGAGAGGTTGTTTTTTGTTTGTTTGTTTGTTTTTTTAAACCGGTCATTTTCTGAGCCTTTGGTCAGCTTTTATAGGAAACCTTGAACTGGGGCTAAAAGTCATGCTCTCCAAGTACAAAGTAAATAGGTTAAGATGGCTTGTCATACAATCATACTGAAGTACTTAATCAAAAGGCAAAAGACAACAGAGGCCCTGGGGGATGGCAGAGAGAAAAGGCAAGGAGGGGCCCTTCCTCCTGGCTCTGTCTGGTCTCATCTGGTTGATTTTGCCCCCCTCTTCCCCCATGGGCCTGTCTGCAGTTCTGCGTCTGCCCTACAGAAGGCAATATTTACAATACGATCAAGCCCATGCATGGGTTGCAGCTCTGGGGAGAAACCTGGAAGAAGCGTGCCCTGGCTGAGCCTCATGGTCCCTCTAGCAAATGCATTTAGATACTGGTTTGGATAACTTTCAGAGGCTTTCTGTGCTTGGGATGGAAGACAGCAGCTAATTTATTCATTTTAATTAACGCCAGCCCAGGAAACTCTTTAAAGAATGAAGAGGTCATTCTTAATCCTTCCGAGACAAAAGGTCACTTTGATTTCATAAACTCGGCTTTCCGTAATACCTCATTTTCCTCTTCGTGCTCCAGGATGGCCTGCAGGAATGCCCTCCGCTCGTGGCTCGAAGACTTCTGATCAAACATGCCCGCCTGGATCACTTTCTGATCTACGTTCAGCTTGTACTTTGCAGCGGCGAGAATCTTTTCCTCCACGCTGTTTACAGTGCACAGTCTCAGCACCCGGACCTCGTTCTGCTGGCCGATGCGGTGAGCTCGGTCCTGTGCTTGCAGATCCTGTGAGGGACAAGGACATGCTGTCAGGGGCCAGTGCGTGCATTAGCTGAGCATGCACGTCGCCTGCCCGAGAGGGGAGTGAGGAGGGTTGTTTAGCCCACCCATATTCATCAAACATTTTGCTTTCATTTTTAACATAGGCAAGCTAGTTCATCCCTAATGGAGGGAAGCTGGGCTCTGATGAGCTCGGTTCACCATCAGAATTTAGTCCCCAACTAAAAACAAAACAAACAAAAAAACCCCCAATACATCTGATGTCAGAATTATGACTTTGATAAGACCTACACCTGACCTTAAATTGCAAGGTCATCACGGCTGCTGGTGTCAAGTGTTAAAGAAGATTTTTAAAATAGTCATGAATTATACACACATATGTTACACATACACACTGTACATACAGGGATTGCTCAGGTGACAGATCTCCTGGGATCTAAACCCACCAAAGATGCAATCTTTAGTTTGGGGAATGAAAAGGATTGCTAGTGGAATACTAAATTGGTCACATTTTTGGGGGCAGAAATCTGGCACTGTGTATCAAAAGTGTGAAAACTGAGCATGGTCCCTGACTCCCGAAATTTTACTTCTGGTAATTTATCCTATGGATATAATCATGGATATGCACCAAGATTTATAAATAAAGGTGTACCTCTCACTGTTAAATATTATTTACAATTTTTTAAAGCAGAATTAAATAAAAAATCAACAATAACAGGTTGGTTTAAAAAACTAGTCTTTGTATGTTATATGCCATACACTATATGTACAGTATCATACAGATCAATTAGAAATTTAATAACACAGAGCTATAATAAGTAAAAACTACAAGTTACATATGAGTAGGTACATCAGGATCCTGTACGCACATATTTACCCAGACCAAGAAAAGGCAGGAGGGCCACACCAACAATATTGACATTTCCCAGTAATGAGAGTACAGTCATTATTAAATTTTCCTTTTATTTTCAAATGGCTTAACATTTTTTTCTGCTTTAAACATATATTACTCTTATAAGGAGAAAAAGGTTTTTTTTTTGTTTTTTTTTTAAAGATTTTATTTATTTATTCATGAGAGACAGAGAGAGAGAGAGAGAGGCAGAGGGAGAAGCAGGCTCCCAAGGAGCAGGGAGCCCAATGCGGGACTCGATCCCAGGACTCTGGGATCATGACCTGAGCCGAAGGCAGACGCTTAACCATCTGAGCCACCCAGGCGCCCCAGGAGAAAAAGGTTTTAATGAAATCTTTCAATAAAAACCTTCATAAACCTGAGGCCAGGTTACCTGATTTTAATGCTATACAATAAAACTTTCTCGGTCTGTTACTTTTACTCATTCTGGCCCAGGGGATGGTCTCTGCGCCCATACTAAGTAGTGGTTTCCATGTGTCCCCCCTTGGACCTGTTTCCATTTTTAGGCAAAAGTCTGTCCCCTGTATCCTGCATCCCTAGCACCCGATTTTGCACAGAGCTGATACTCCACAGCTGTAAGCCCATCCTGTTGACCAGATGAGTCATGCACGTGGCATAAGGCGACAACAGGCCCAAGTCCACCCAGGAGACCTGTCTTTGCTGCAGGGACCTCTATGATTAAATGACTAATGAGGCAAAAACTGCTCCTCAGAAGATGTCTGAATAATATTAAATATCAGACAGCTGAACCATGAACATAGCTGGCACCCATCCAGATTAGATGATTTTCCAAAGAGGAGAAAGTGAGGTGGATAAGTGAAATCCAAAGTTGGGGGCAGGGGTGGAACCCTGAACTTCATTTACAAGACCCTGGTTCAGTCATCTCTCTGAACACATGCTCACCAGCGTGGTGAGGCAGCGGCCGAGATGGCGAGTTGTGTGCTGTCAACCTCTGGATTATCTTCTAGAACAGGGGTCAGTGAGCTGTTTCTGCAATGGGCCCAAGAGTGAGGATCTATTAATAGTAAATATTCTAGATTGTCTAGGCCAAGAGCAAACACTTAGCAACTGTTCTCACCAAAAGGCTGATTATCATCTTTTTTCTCCATTTTACATTTTTCTACTTAAAAATGGGAAAAAAACTATTCTTAGCTCACAGATCTCACAAAAGCAGATGGCAGGCCAGATTCGGTCCCCAGGTCTGAGTTTGCTGACCTCTGCCCTAGAAGATGCTGATAAATCACAAAAATATTAAGGTACAGGTGGCCGCAAACATAACAGGCAAGGAAGTAGAGGGCCTGGGGCATCTGCAAACGGGGGTAGTAAGTTTGTGAGCTGGCTGCCAATGAGGTGTTTTGTTCTGTTTCGTGGTGGTGCCAGTGGTGTTTTTGTGTGTATAAAGCCATATATCTATTTGGAAAGCAGCAAAGATTAGTGTTTCTAGGCTGAAGAAGTTTATGGAATGTAAGCCTGAGTCTGTAAGCCAAAATGGGGAGGGGGGCATATACGGTGACCAAGAAATACATGCTGTCGTTATTGGATGGATTCTTCAATACTTCTGAGATTTTAGTGGTCTGATGCTACATCACACTAAGCAGGTGTGATTGTATCTGAAGACAAGAACATAGCCTGAGAGCCTCCAAGGTAACTGCAGTTGGCCCTTCTGTCTAAACAACTCAACTCCAGCTCCAGGGGCTAATAATAAGGGTACCAACCCATGTTTCCAATCCACAGTTTGGAAATGAGAGCCTCAGTAATCCCGAGGGATTTTATTGCTAATTCCACATGTATATGTTCCAGCTCTACTCCTAACGAGAGCCTCCAATTAACGACTTGTAGGCCTCTATCTTCAATCTGTCAACTTTTGTCAAACAGAACGGCTCTTTGGTCAATATGCCTTAATTTTGACTCAACATGACAAAGAATTACTACAGAACACTTTTTTTTTTTTTTTTTTTTTTGCAACGCATGCTGAAACCAACATGGTAAAAAGAGGTCCACAACTTTCGTTTTGGGGACCATGCAACCTTTATGCAGGGGTACTGGGTGGAAAGAGCCCAAAGCCGGATTCATACCCAGACAGACACGGACAAGTTAATACTGACTGTTTTCCTTAAGTGGAAAGTCTTTCAAGGACTAGGTATGAAGTTAGGTTTGCAAACTGCCTTGTAGCATCTAGTGGAGTTCGCTGCTTAATGAAAGTTAGCTCTCTTACCTTTCATATGAAAAATCAATATTCACTCTATCACTCTAAGATCACTGACTTCTGAAAATGAAAAAAAAAAAAAGGTTTGCCCAAACTAATGGCCACATTTAAGTGACAGACATGAAAAATATGATCAGTCCAGCTGCCCAAATCAGGCGGCAGTGAGATCTACCTACGGCAGATAAAAATATTTGGAGAAATATATGGCCCACTGCTGGGAACCTGTGGTAAATAAGACCAGAGGAAGTCTGAGGTCCTGTGTGTTTTGTTGCCTAAGTTTTAGTTCAAATACAGTGAAAGGTGAATGAATTGTTCAACGCTCATGCAATTTACTTGATTCCGGAGTTCCACCTTTAGTTAATGGTTTTAAGTGTGTGTGTGTGTGTGTGTGTGTGTGTGTGTGTGTGTGTGTGAGACAGAGAGAGAGAGAGACAGAGACAGAGACAGAAGGGGGGAGACAGAGGGGGGTAGACAGAGACAGAGGGGGAGAGCAGGGTAGAGGTAGAGAAAGAGAGACAGGCATGGATGTCCCAGCATCCTTTCCCTGGTAAACCGGCTTTTCTAGAGACAGTGAATACTTCTGGCCTTTGGAATTTGCACTGTGCCAATGCAGGTGGTCAGCTGAGAAGCCACAGATGTGCTTACCTCCAAAGATAAAATCTAGCGAACCCTCCATTCACCTATAGACAGGCTTTTTTTTTTTTTTCCTCTCAGTAAAGATTTAGGCGGCAGAGATAGGGTGATGGAAACCACACCGAGCACCCTGGGGAGGAGAAGAATCACATACTCCTCCCCTAGATGCCCAGCAGAGCCTCAGGGCCTGTGGCCCTGCAGCCACTCTCGAAATGTGGGACTGACGCAGAGTTCCCAACAGTAAACAGGAAAACTGCAGGTCTGTCACGGGAGTAAGAATTCCACCTGTGCCCGGGAATGCAACGTGGGATATAAAAATATATAAAATATATAAAAATATTTTCTGAAGACCAGTGCCCGTGGCCTCCCCGAGGCTCGGAACCACTGGTCTAGTCTTGAAATCAGCGCTCCTCAGCTAGGAGAGAAATGACGCAGAATCTCTAGGGAGATTTTGAATGTCTGGAGAAGTCTGGGAAGCACCTGCAAAACAGGGCGTGGGGTGGCAGGGAATGGGAAGCAGGCGTGCGTGCTTTTTTTACAAGCTCTCTCATCATTCTGTGCAGCCCAAGACTCCATTCTCTGCCTTAAATGAGTGCCGTCCATAAGCCTTTTCGTCCCAGTCTCCACCGCGACCCAGTGAGAACACTACTACTCTGCGTGTTTGCAGTGGAAGAAACAGAGGCGCAGGGAGCAGCCTGGGGAAACTGATGTTCAAGTCACATTCATATGGGGGAGCTGCAGTTTTCCTTTCTCCTATTTTGAATTCACGTGTGCTTCAAAATGAATCAAATCCCGACACACAGCATTCTACCCAATTTTGCACAACCAGGTGACTGTCTCCCTGCACCACGGAGGCAACCATGGGGGAGCCACAAGGGACCTGTTCTCTTGGGCTTTTTCAATCATCAAAGCAATCCTATAAAAAGGGTAAATGTAAACTGACCTGGCTCAAAGAACTTAGTAGTAGATGCTCCACGGGATAATCTTTGATGGCGATTTTAAACAAAACACACAGACCAAGAGATAAACTACTATATACGAATTGTTTGACCTTCAGGAACTTACTTACAGCTTCTGGGGACTCATTTTCCTTGACTGGAAAGGTGCATCTAGTGATGTTAACAACCTCACAGCATTGTGAAAACGGAAGGAAGCGATGCACATAAAGAGGCTGGCGCAGTTAGGGTCTAATAAATGTTAGTTGTTGCTGTTTTTATTTTGGACATTTGTGATTTATCCTATAACCAAACATCCTTTGGTTTGGGGTCAATCCCAAAGGAGATGGGTCTAACACTGAGCAGAGACTAAGTTTGTACCCCAAATTGGAGCTTTTCAAAGGCACATCGAAGGTGTGTGGAAGGTGTCTGACCTCCGAGGGAGGTGAGGTAAGACAGCCCTTGGGAGAAACGGCCCACTCTTTTAGAAATCTGCTCTTCCCCACAAAGGTGAATGATGACACCAATAGTCACTTAGTCCCCCTGGTTCCAGAAGGGGTGCACGTCACAGACGGACAGACCTGGTGAGGGTTCCAGTCGCTGTCAAAGATGACCACGGTATCAGCTGCCTGAAGGTTCAAACCCAGGCCACCAGCCCTGGTGCTCAGCAAGAAGATGAAATACTGGGACCCGGGCTCGTTGAATTTCTTCAGCAGAGCAGCCCGGTCCTCAGACTTGGTGGTGCCTGTGGGTATAAGACAAGTAAATTTGCCAATGAACTCCCGTCCGAAAATGGCACAGAGCTAGAGAGATCGGCCGGCCTCCTGGGGAAACAGACACCTCTTGGCACCGGTGAGGTAATCCCCTGGGGTTTTTGTACTTTTTTTTTTTTTTTGAAAGGAACTTTGGACATTTTGTAATTAAAAAAGAGAGAGAGAGAGAGGGAAAGAGACTTTTCTCAAATCAAGAAGGAACACGGTCTACTATCCATTGTTTCAAAATGCTGGGTTTAAACACTTAGGACCAGGTGCCTTTGTAACTTTACAAGTTCCAGAACATTCTCACGTTAACCTAAAACTTAATGAAAACATTTTCTAGATTTACTTCTGTGCTTAAAAACACCATTTTTAAAAACCCACCTACCTACACACACACACATGCACACGTGCCTACAAAGATTATTATAACGGTTTAAGGCAATTTTGCCGACGGGCATTAGAGTGAGCTCTTGTTTATGCCAAGAGGGTGGAAACAAAAGGGAAATCGATTTCCACTGCGTTTTACCGTCTGGATTGCTCCTGAGCGTGATCTGGCTGGGAAAAACATAAAACGTGAAAGGAATATTTTTATCCTGGTTAGCAAGACCTGAAGCCACAATAATCCCCATATATATATATATATACATATATATATATACATATACACATATATATATACATATACACATATATATATACACACACACACACATATATGGAAGCTCTTTAGTCTGTTTCTCATGCTGACATTCTGCTCTGTTGAGTTCAAAGGGTGCTGACCTACAACCCAACAGAGCAGCATATAATACACCTGCCTATGGCTGGCCCCACTGTGCCTGAAGAGACTCCACAGCAGGGAGTAAGCAGAGAGGAGCAGACTGCAGAGCATGGTGCTCACGTTTAGGGCATGAAGTCACCCGTACCTGCCTCCCAAATCAGCCACTCAATCACACACTCTGTGTTTGTAATGAATTTCCCCCGGAAGCACTGCTGCAGAGTTTTGAAAAAGGCTCTAGGCTGTTGGAAAACAGATATGCGTGTCCCACGATAGTCCCTCAACGCCTGCTATACAAATATTACTTCTACATGGTGTTCTTTTTTTAAGGATGAAAACACACCAGCAACTTACTTCAGAGGATTAAAACATTTAAGCGAGGACAGCTTATGAAATCATGTTATCCTGAGGGTCAAATACCCAAACACAGCAGGGGGGAGGAGGTGGAGCTGTTCTTCCTATTAATAAAAATGGTAAGTACCCTCCTGAGGAAGGGGAAAAAAAAACCCCTAATTCCCCATATATAGCAAATGGGGATTAGGACCAAGGGGCTTTGCGGGTTCTCCTCATTAAACGAAGCAATGTTCTTTAGAGCTCATTTTGCTTTCGAAATTAGATTTCAAGTTTAGCCACCTGGTCAAAACCTGCAAGGAGAAACGGTTAAAGAGTTTAGATTTTGGGGGGAAGAGCACTAAATGTGCTCTGCTGAGTGAGGTCTCAACTCTGTGGGGCTCTTTTTGTTTTTTTCCTTCTCTTTTCAGAGTTCGCTTTCTGAGAGGACGGTGACCTATGTGCTCACGATCCTAACGGAAGACAAGTTCTGTGCTATCATGAAACCTGCTCGCTCTATCGTCTTTCGAGGTGCAATAATGAAGACAAAATTACTCACATGGAATCACGGTTCACATATTTACCCTCCACCTCAAACCACATGGAAAGTCACAGAAACAACAACAAAAAAGATGTTCCTAAAGTGAGGGAAAGGAGGAATTTCCAGAGACAAGGATGTCTGTTTTCTGACAGCAGGGCACAGCATCTATACTCTCTGAGGATATAAGTTCAGTTTTAAATCCACTGAAAAAGAATCGGCTAACGACCACCTGCATTAAGCTATAAATTAGAATGGTTAGTGGATATGCCTCCTGGGGGATGAAATTAACCCTAAATGCAAAATAAAGCCCTGGAAAACAAAAGAAATACCAAAATGATTTGGTCAAAGGAGTTTTGGGGCCCTCCGCCAGGTACCTCAAGCAAAGAGACGGAGCATCTATCTGGTGTGGATTCACACCGTCTAACTACCTGGGAACTTGATGAATTTTCAAAGCCAGAAAGATCTATGATTAAATCACGGTTCAGGCAAAGAACTATGACATTTCTAATGACAAGGTTCAGAATTTGCCGGATTACCATTCCCATTAAGTCACAGGTTCCCCGAGTCGAGATCTTCGCTGATCATCAGCAATCGCTGGGATATTTGCTCAGGGAGATTCAAACCACTGTGTCAGGGTTTATCCACAGAGCAAATAAATGCTCCATGCAGGTGGCACAGGATTTCACACGCTCAGTATCAGTCCCATGTTCTGTTAGACTTTGAGGTAGAACATAACCAAGAACACAATTAAGAGCAAGCGCGATTGTGTTGAAAGTTGCAGAATGCGCTGGAAGGAACACACTGTCAGGCTTTCATGATTACTAATTTTAACTTAGTTTCAGCTGCTTTGGGAAAATTTGGTCTTCTGGGATGTAGCTTCACCACTTGCTCTCACTCAAAAAGCATTTCCAGGGAAAACAAAGACTATATAACAGGACAGTAGCCAAATCTGTTCATGCAACCATCATCTTTGCAAGAAAAAGAAATCTGTTTAGCTGTCATTGAGTGATTTTTTTCCCCCCTGAGGTCAAACATCTGAGACCTCAAATTCAGCAACGAAAATCTGAAGTCATTTTAACAAACGGGTGAAGGGGCAGGTGGCTGGAGGCTGGTGCCCTTGTGAGTACGTAGTCTGATTGTTGCCCATTGATTCTCTCCAGCACCCCCCCCCAAAGAAATGGTTGCTATTTCTTGCGGGCAGAAGCCTGTACCATTTCCTCAACTCCATCTGTAACATTTTATTATGAAGCTTGTTTACTTGTTGTCTCCTTCAGCCTAATGGTGAGGGTTCTGATGGCAGGAACACAGCGGCTCCATTCATCTTGTATCTCGTTCCAATTCATCACTTTAAAAATTGTGAATACGTTCAAAATCATTCTTGAAATGCCGCCTGCCAGGAAAGAAGCCTGCATTTTCGGAGAGGGGATGTAGCCTCCTGGGTCTGCTAAAAGTGATTCTGAAAACTAACTGGCATCAGAGAGATCTAAGGTAGAACCTGGCTTTGCCGTTTGCGTCATGCATAAGTTAGCTCATTTCTCTAAGCCTCTGTTTTCCCATCTGTGAAATGGGGATCGTATTCGTACCTTGGTAAAAGGGGGTAAAAGTAGCCTGTTTGCCGAGAAAATTACATCAATAATGCACAGGAAGTGCTTTGCCTGGTATCCCACCTGCAGGAGGCATTCCATCAACGTCACCTTTTATGACAATTATTATTAATGACAAACAGATAAGGTCAGCCACCAACAGCAACCTGTGAAGGAGACTCAGGCTGGCAAGAAAACATGACAGAGGTATGTTTCAAGGAAAGCACTTCTTGCCAGTTTCACACACTTGAATATTCCAGGGCCACAATCCTCAAAGAGGGGAGATTCTAAACGAAAAGCCACAAAGTAGTAAAAAGCACGTGTTCGGGACACCAGGGCAGGGCTGCCCCTCACCTGAGCAGCCAGGAAGGCGGGCTTGCTCTTCAGATGAGGGCTGACCTTGCCCCTCACGGAGAAGGGACACGAGAATCAGGTCAAAGGACTCAGGACGAGACGCGGTGCAGGAGACCTGCCAAAAGAGATAGGCTGTGGACGACAGAACCGTGTCACGAATTCAAGAAGGAACACTGACTTAGCCATGCGACTGTTTGCGGTGACTTTGGAGGGGAGAGATAAAAAGATTTTTCAAAATCAAGTCTGTCTGAGGTATAATTAGTTCAAAAGTTAATAATACCCTAGGAGGTACACCATAAAGAGAATTCACTTAAAAAATAGAGTAGGGCAAGTCTGAAGTTGGTGTGTGTCCAGTTCTATCTAATTAGGGGCAACCAGGGGGACAGAATGTTGGACTGAACATAAAACAAAACCTTTTATTTACTTATTTTATTTAATTTAAATTTTTTT